GGTGACAAGGTAGGCGGCGAAGGGGAGGGGGGTGTTTGTTTTTAGACGGACATCTAGAGGCGGAAGACGAGAGTCGAGGAGCTGGGGCACGTAAGACGAAGGAGGGGTGGAAGGGGGCGTAGGGATAGCCGTCGCACCCCCAGCGCTGACATATCGCACGAGACCAGAGGGGCTTTCAAACGGGAAATATATTTGTCACCATCCGCGGGGAAAGGACTTTGTCCCACGGAAGCAAATTTTTCGATGGAAATATTTTTGTTCGAGTTGGATAGGAAGATTGGATTTTCAGCTTTCGCAGGAAAAACCTCTTCAGTGTCTTAGATGATACGCTGTTAGCGTTCATGATCGTGTTAGTAATGAATAGCACGAATAACTGGACTGCATTTTTCAATTTGAAACTATAAATTCTGGCTTTTATGGAAAAACACTAATGTGTATAGGGAAAATAATGGCACATACAATGTTTTTAAACCGGGCTAGAATTTATAGTTCCAATTCGCAAAATGTAGTCCAATTGTATCTCTACGCCGTCATCAACGCGCGTTCTTTCCCTGGCTCTATTTCCATTTTGTGTTTGTTCCCGTACGTCCGATTCGTGATGGCGCTTCAAAGGCTACGTGGTCAACACACCAAAGGATAAGAAAACGAAACCCGGCCTCGTTTTCTGGCTTTTCTATACCGAATTGAGCGACACCTCATTGGCAGCATAGAGCGGAACAATGCAAGTTCACGCCTCGCGCCATCGCGCCTTCAATTTTGCAGACGCAACACGGACATCCATCAAGCACGAATAGTTGTATCTCTGCGCCATCATCAACGCGCTTGGCTATGTGTTTTCCGTCTTGTGTATGGTTTGCCAAGAAACGTTGTCGATGAGGTTGAGACGCAAATAGGACTGTAACGTGACACAAAATCACTACACTTATTGTCTATTGCACAAATATTCTAGATTCTCGCTTCAACGAATCGGATTTTTAACATCAAAGAACACAGTTTCCTTCGCAGTTTTTTTACTGCAATAGGGAAGCATCTCATTACGAGCAGTAAAGTTTTAGTCGCGACTACGAAGGAGTTGGTTACAGCACGATTTGAGTTCATAGGGTAACCGCTGGACATAAAGTTGATTGCGATCGGAGAAAACACATTTGCCAATTTCAACAATTTTGGAGTGAAATTCTGAACCGAAGTCTACGGATTCCGAGTGACATGAATGGGGAACAGAATCTATGCTCCTACCGAAGTGACCTACACGATTATGAGGTGGAATCCACTCTTTTTGCGGAGTGACATACGCCTTTATGGTGCTAATCACACTTCGGATTCATATCATTCAGGGCTTTTGGGCGCTGCATAGACTTAAAGTCCCTTTATACCATGAGTTAAGACCATACCCCTTCATGGAGTCACAAACGGGAATAAAGATTACACAAATTGAACGTTTTTCGAAATCTTTCATCGGCTCATTCTCTAATTCCTTTCTCCGTTCCTTCTCTGTTCCTTTTCGAACCCGTAATTCCTCGGTCCATTCCAGATTATAATCTTTGCAATTGGTGAAAATGTAATCTTTTTTTCCCGTTTGTGACACTGTGGAGGCCTAAAATACGGGGGAACCAATCAGAAATGGATTCACATTGTCTTAACTCCCAGTATGAAGGGACTCTACCTAGACTTAGGCACCGAATTTTATTCCTTGATTTTGAACAGTGTGACAAAAACTCGGTTTCCAAAAAAGAGGAGCTGATGCAATTGCAATCCTTCCTATTGTCGTTCAAGACCGCGGTCGGTCGGGCGGTATGGCAGCGACGGGGGATGTCTGTCGGGGGTGACGTCAGCGTGTCGCGGGCCGAAGTTCGAGGCTCGGACGTGGACAAAATATGGAAGGGCGTGGAGCGTCCCGGCCGAAACTCCGGCGCGGCGCGGCGACCAGCGTTGATTAATGATTAGGGTTATTGATGATTCAGGACGAGCCATCACGACCCTGTTAATTCTCCTTCGATTGATTCCCTATCCCGGCCCGGGCTCCAGGGCTTCGGCCTCTCCCGTGTCCCGTATCGGACAACTCACCTTCCTTCACACACACACCCACACACGCGCGCGAAAGGAAGACGCCACGGATCTTGATGAGATTTACCTTGACGGGTCAAGACGAATTTAGAACTTTCTTGCAGCCACGAGACGGTCCGTTTCGGCCGTGATATGTCACAGTTCGTTTAATTTGTAGAAATAGGGTACCGGATTTGCTTCCAAATGAGACCCTTTTAAAGAGGACTGAGATATGTGGAACCCGTTTCTGATTGGCTCCCATAAGGCCACAGTCCTTTGTATAGGTTACATATTGAAAATCGCAAAGATCATGTTTTGAAGAGTCGCGAAAAGGAATGCTTTAAACTTGTGAGACAAATTCTGAGAGTTTCAAGAAATAATTTTTAATAGTTTGCATAAAAAATTGAATGAAAAGTGAGGATCTATACGAGCCTTTTTCAGGTATGTGGTTGACTGACCAAAAATTCCTGCGTTCCTTATGACTTACGTGCCAATGTCTTTCAATAATATTAAAAATTCAAGAAAAGCACTCACTCTTCGACCAATGTCTGACAAACCTAACCATTCTCGTCTTCTGCGTCGAAGACAAGAATAAAGAAGGAGAAGAAGAAGAGGAGGAAAGACGAAGATAAAGGAAGAAAAAGAAAAAGAGACCTAGGAAGGAGTAAACGGAGAAAAGGAGAGAAAAACTTAAAAAATAAAGTAATTATTCTTCTTTTTAATGGACGTATTTAAATAAATAGGAACTATCTCAATTCTCTCAATCTCGTTTTCCGCATGAGGTCTAGTAGACACGGATTTACATGTGAAATAGGGCTCACAAAGAAATTGAGATACATCCTAACGTCAGAGGAAGGATGAATTACGACTTGGACCTTGGAGCTCATAAGGTGATATGAGTAACAAAGCACACGTCATAGTGGAGATAATCAATTTTGATTTGAGTAGTCCTTATTTTCTTCCTAGTCCTCTCAACTGCCCTCTTCAGAGGTGTAAATGGCCTCAGATGCTAAAGCACCGCTTGAAAATAAAATTATTTTACTACTACTCATCTCCCTTTTTTCTTCGTCTTCTTCTTCCAACTATCATTATTCCGTCTCCTATTTTACCTGTTTTTGCTCTCCCTTTTCTGGTTCCTCGTTTTTTCCCCTTCCTTTTCCCTCTTTAACATCATTTTATTATTTCCTTTTTTTCTTCTTCATCAGCTCATTTCTTCCTATCCTTAATCTTCATCTTACTCTTTCCTTTGTTTTCCCTCTCTCATCTTCACTTGCCTCTTCTGTGTCTCCTCTCTCTCCTTTTCCAATTCTTGTACACTTAATTTCTGACGAATACTTAGCTGATAAGTTAGGTATCAATACACCCGAGTCTATTAGACAAGAGTTAAAACTAAATCAGGACTAGCCAGGTAACAGTTCATCAATGAGACTCAGAAAGTTCGCCACTCTGAAAGAGAACAAAAAACCAACCAACCCCCGACCTTTTCGCCCCCGCATTTATCCTGCCGAGAATCAAAGGGCCAAGCGGCGTCCACCCCTCATTTTTTAAAGCTCTCCCTCGACCTTTCTACCCTCCCGACATTCGACAACACTGCCAGTGAATAACCGCTACTCATTGTGGGAGGCGCCTCGGCCGAGCCCCTCGGATCATGCGATAAGAAAACTTGCTTTGATCATGATCTAGGATTTGCGCCCCCTCGCGCCCCTCCCCGCCTCCCCCGCTCGGCCGGGGGCATTTCCCGCCGCGCCCTGATCCCTCCCGTGACACCGAAATCCCTCCGCTCCCGGTGATCCCGCGGAATCTGATAATCAGATTGAATATTCGGTAAATACGCCCGGATTCCCGAATGGAAGCCGCCGCTCCCAGAATGGACCGCTGCGATTTTTATCCGTTTGCTGGATTATTTTCCTCCTGGGTTGGGCCTCCCGGCCGGGATTTCTCGGGAATAAATAGCCGCGAGTGGACGGAGCTCGATAGAGAATATCGGTCTGCCCCCGATTCTTCCGCACTATCGATATCGGGCAATTTTTCCTCATCCTCCTTTCAAAGTGGAGAATTAGGGATTTTGGGTTAGATAGACACTTGGACTGCACTTTACAATAAAAAACTACTGTTACTGGGTCATTTTAGGGGAAAAAACCATCAACGATGCGGAATCACACAAAAACGCGTAATTGGATTTTCTACGCTTTAAACTACATGAATCACATTTAGCCAAAAGGAACCAGCGCAATTACAATGTTGTAAAAATGCTGCTTCCTCATATTAATCAAAAAATTTTCCCATAATAGCAAATAGTTTTGGCTTTCCACCAAAAAATTGGTAATTTTAAAGGAGAATCATTGTGTGAATTTTAATACTACGTACTTATATTAAGTATTTTTTTTTTTTTTTTTTTTTTTTTTTTTTTTAAGGATAAATTGCACTTTTTTGAAATCACTGTATTATCGAGCTGGTTCTTTTTTGCTAAATGCGCTAAATGCGATTCACATGTAGTTATATATTTTTCAGATGGAAAAATATTCCGCGCTGTTTTCTTTTAAAACTTCCTTCATTTTCCCTCTCTCTCTGTGAAGTGTATTCTGTTTGAACCTCGAGGAATAGTGCTACTTCGTTCTTTTTGAGCATTATGAAATGAGAGCTGATATGTTTAGATACTACAAACGAAACACGCGTTTATGCAATTTCGCCGTCGATATTCGGTGGATTTACCGAATGGAAGCAGATGATCAAATCGATTGTTTTCTTCCTTGTCAGACTTGGAGCCGTTCATAGAATACGTAGCGCTTAATTTCGGATTTTGCGACTCCCTTCCCCTCATAACGCTATTATGACGTACATTCCTATCCTTTAACGTGTAAAAGCAAATTGGCGTACCAAGCTCTTGGACCGCCTTTTCCATAAAGAGCGTTACGTATTTTATGAGCGGCCAATCGGTTCATTTGTAATTTAATTACCTGCGGGTCCTGATGAGAAAATATGGCGTCGAAAGCGAACATTTTGGGAGCGGCGACTCCAAGGCGTCTGTCTTCGGGCGTAGGGTGGTCGCCGAGGCTGGGGTCGCACAGGGTGACTTGCTTCCGCTTCTTATCCAGGTTGAACCAGGCTGAGTCTCCAGATGTTTGGGCGCCCTCCTCCTCCTGATATACCCGCAACATAACTTTGACCTATCCCAAACAGACAAATGAAAAACAGGCAAATTAAAATCAGGGCAGAATAGGAAAATCTTCCTAAAATCATTGAGAGTTTGGAGGTCCCTCGTAGTAATGACCTTGAAATGCATTTTTCAAAAACTTAAAAAAAACTCGTTTTGTCTACCCTCTGAATTGAAGACATGCTTTGTGATACTGGACGTCATAAGCAATGGCTGCAGGGCTTTATTTGAAGAGGTTATTGAATCGTATGAAATCTGTGTCCGTAACCATTTACGACTGGATAAAAGTTTTTAAAATAATTCATAGATATATTTTGTTTTTGAAGACATTGACTTGAACCCTCATTGGTTAAGAAACAAGAAGAAAGTATCCATTTCGTGCCGTGGAAAAAGTTTCCTTGCTCTGTCTTGGCTGAACTTTAAAGTCAGAATATCACTATTCCAGCAGCCAGGAACCCGTTTTGACTGCCCTCGAAATTAAAGGAAAATTAACGCCTTTTTGATTGGCAAGACAGAAAAAAGGGATAAATATGTTGAATTCAGATTTTGATACCAGTGGGTTGAGTAGGTCTGTGGTTAATTTATTATCACTATCTATTTACAATTAATTTATTATTGCACATCAAATGTAACGGTAAAGTATATTAGGATTTCAATCGTAAAGGCCGAATGACACTATTAGAAAAATATAGGATTCTCGCTAATCCTCTTCACGTATAATTTGAAAACAAAAACAGCTTTAAAAAAAAAAAAAAATGCAGACAGCGAAAGTGGGAAACGCTAAAAATTGGTACTCGTTGAAGCTGCGTGGTCAAACTCACAATCAGGCATGCACGATACAAACACGTAGCGTAAAAGTCAAACAAAAATTCAACGTCGGCGAGAGAACAAGATAAATTATCTTCAGGTGCTAAAACGACTGCATCGAATCTAAAAAGCAGATAAAAAAAGCGCGAAACTCCGCGATACGTCATATGAACTCGTCATCAAAGTATTTTTTATGATCGTTCCTCCACCCTACCAACAAACTGCGTTGAAATTCGACTGAAAAAAGCGTTATCATTGCAAAAACGATTTTTTTTCTCATCACTCTTATCGGGCGAGAGGTAATTGATAAAATGTACGCTCGGAAAGTAAACGGATGGATAAAGATAGATAGAACAAAAACATTAATACTTTTAAACCTGTACATAAATTGTATATTTTGCTTTCTGTCCATCTGGATTGACAGGTTGGCATAGTCAAAAGGATTGGACTAATTATTAAGAACCAGCCAAAGACATAGGACTGACTCTTTTTTTGGAGTTGTTGGCTTTTAATAGCGGTATGACAATTTTTAGCTACAGAAATCAATGTTATAAGATAAAAAATTACAATTTTAAAGTTCGCTTTACTCGCTTTTCCTCTGCGATTATTACCTTTATAATTTTTGTGCAAATGAATAATTTTCTTATAAGTAGTGTTTCTTTCTTTAACAAATTGAAATACTAACGTTTTAATTTATATAGTGCGGCAAAAAAAATTAAGAAACCGTGTTACATACTCGTGATTGACATGCATATTTTTTTCAACTTCAAACACGTCTTTCGATAAAACTTCTGCGCGCGGTAATCGTAAAATTATCAACTTGATGGATATGAAGATGCTCATGAGAAAAAAAGATAGCGATTGGACTCAAACGCGTCTTCCGATAAAACTGTCGCGCGGTAAATGCAAAATTTTCAACTTGAAGAATATGAATATGCTCATGAGAAAAAAAGAGAGCGATTCGACTCTCTTAATTGAAATCTAATCAAGGCCGAAGACGATTAAGTCGCGCATTTTTGCCTCCACCGCGACGCCGCCGTCGCTCTGGTGAGAATTTCTAATTTCACGTTTCATAAATTCACGAATTTCGGCCACCCTGGGGTCCTCAAACCAGACGTTCTCTCGATTACAGCACCGACAACCTTGCCGGCTTGCTCTCGTCCCCGCCGAAGGGCGGCCGAGATCCGCGACGATTTTGGCGCCATCTGGCCGAGGCGCCCGGAATTAAAACGTCAGAATTCCGCTACTGTCGCGCGCATAATTAAAAATTACCGAGGGACGCTGATGCTCATCTCGCAAGGTCTTGGGCTCTTACGGATGCTTTGCGCGGAGGGAAACTCCGAGGGATTAAAGTTCCGAAAATTTCCCCGAGCACTGATCTTCCCTAAAAGTATCGGGGATCGCCCCCCCCCCCTTCTGCTTGAATTAAAAAAGAAGAAGAGGGAGAGAAAAGAGGAAAATAATATAAATGAGAACAAGCGTACCGTAGAGAAATAGTATTCTGCCGTGCTAAGGAAGAACGCCGTATAAACCTTCAGGCGTTACCAAATTTTCTTTGATAAAAACCGAATTTATTGGGAAAATTGCGAATATTATTTTCCAAAATTTTCAAACAATTTTGTAGGCGATTTAATCTAAAACATCTAAAAATTTCAAAGAAAAATATGCATGAATGTGGTGAAAAATACGCGTTTTATCAAGGGAAATTTGGCAACTCTCGAATGTTCATACGGCGTTCTTCCTTAGCACGGCAGTCTTGTCCACGGGAAGGAGATCTTACAGCCCTCGGATTAGGTCGGAGCGCGGAATTTCCATCTAAACTTGACTGAATTAAACGCATTAAGTCGAGCATTTTCAATTTTATCTCGCCAATATATGAACTATTTCTTACTAGCCGCGCCTCTCAAATATTGAGGATGAGAACGGACCAAAAACAACTGTCAAGGTACTTTACTTTGAGAACTCAGCGGGCTGATTATTCAGATTGATAGACAAAGCGATAGACAAACAAGACAAATGGAGCGACCCTGTTGGTTGAAACGGATGGTTGTTGTAGGCTAAGGGGAAATATTTGTATGATAAACTAACGATGGGGTCTCCAGTGGGTTTGCTGTTAATTAGTCTATTATATGTACAATTTTACCTATGTGCATTGCAACCTCCCGCTTTCACCAATAGGATCCCTCCAGTTTTCTCCTTTCTCTTTTTTGGCTATCGATTTGTACTTTAATTTAAATTATTAGTCCTCGTTGAAGAAAACGAGAAGCGAGATTGACGCACAGTGAGGCAAGCGATCGGGAGAGGTCAAACATGCGATTTTTTACCATAAAAGTACGAATTTACATGTTTAACTAGGGGTGCTTTTCGGACCGATGTAACTACCCTTAGACCTCCGCGATACTTATTATTGAAGATATAAGGTTTTAAAGGTCTCACATTACATCCAACCTCTCTCATTGACTCCCTAAACTGTGCGACGCCGAAACTGACGTGCATAATTCCGAGGTGGGCATTAGACGAGATTATCCGTTTGCCTGATTAAAACTCTAATTATGGAAATCACCGCTCAAGTGGGAGCCGCAGTTACATTCTAGCTACGCGCCCGAGATGCTGGCTCCACTTTTCAGAGCGGCTATTCCAAATTTACCAAAATATTTGGCCTTTTACTCCGATTAAGGGTACGGAGAAAAGGTTAACAAAAGGCTGAGAACCGAAGTAAATCTAGGCGATATAGGAAAGAACAAAAAAAAACTCTAATCATATAATCCAAAAATAACAGCTTTGGTTGGAGGAACGGAATATTCAGTTCCACGAATTGACGCGATTGATGGAACTTACCTTTGATTCGATGAGCCAAAATAAAAGTTTCGGTCTAATGAAAAAGTAGACACAAAAAATGCAAAGTACGGAGAGATAATTGTATGTTTTTTATAAACTTAAAGGAATGTTAAGATCTACCTAAATATTTGCAAGATCTGTATTAAGCTCCCTTTTGCACTCCGTTGTAATTGTGGTGGCCAATCATTTCAATCCCATACGAGTATCTATTTACAAAGTTATCCTTCTAAAACCCCCATGGCGAGACGTCTTGCCATTTATTTTAGTGATGCCAAAGACCTAGTGGCGAAACGATGTGTCATTTCAAGTTCTAATTTGAGTCGCCAAGGCGCTGCACTGACACCATTCAATAACTTATGAAAGATCTCTAATGCTCAATTTTGCACTGCAAAAGGAAGATTAACTTTGTTGCAATTTTTGAAGGCGTGGAAAGTAAAAATGTGAAAAGTTAAACTTTGCTCAGGACTCAAAAATTATACAAATTGTAAAATCTCTGGGTCTTAGGAGGTTACGGTCCTGAATTTTATTCGGGGCTCATAAAAATTGTCATTTTTATACAGAAATGTTGAAGGCTCCCTTCAGGCTCTTTTCATCAAAATGTAAACCATTTGCGGCCTAGCGAAAGAAAGTGACTAAGGAACGACTCTGAACAACCCTCACGGAGAAAAAAACCAAGGTTACCACGGTAATAATGTCACACGGGATTCTACGGTAGCGGAGCCGTGGGTTTTAATGATTGTAATGATGAGCACGGTGATGCTACCGTGCACCGTGATATTACTATGAGCACAATAATTCTACTACGAGCATGGTTATGCTACTATGCTCATCAATAATCTTACCAAAGTCCACTGTTCTACATACACCAAAAGAAAGTTGGGTAGCACTTACCATACTCAGCTTTAAAAAAGGCACAACTAGACAGTATGGTAACTTTTACCAAAATTATTATTACAATAAAGAACAATTTTGATAATTTTGATGAAAGTTACCAAACTCTCTGGTTGTGCCGTTTATTAACCAGAATATAGTAAATGCTACCCATTTTTTCTCCACGATATACCGTGGAAGCCCATGTGACATTAAAACCGCGTAGAGTACCTTTATAGACAGAGTATGGCCATTTCTGTGTTGGTTTTTCATTGGTTGCGTGAAAGTAGGCTGACACGATGTCCTTACGGTCGTAAATAAACAAACAAAGATTTCTGTTATCAGCAAGCAAGTTTGAGGTTGTGCACATCTTACATCATCCTGTGATAAAGGCGAGAGACGATTTAATAGGGTTTTCATGTGTTTTCCATGTGTCATTCGTAGATATGCTAGTTTAAATTGTTACTGGCGTATAATTGAAATTTTTGTGAAATTTTA